TTATTTCTCCACATAACCTTAAAGTTGTAGTTGTGTTGACTACCAGTGTAAATTATTATTTTGTTGAATAGTGGTAATAGGGTGAAAAATAGCGTTTGTAACACGCTCCGAAATGGTTTTGCAGCTCTCGATCGTTTTTTAGCGAATTTCCCTATAGGGAAGTAGCTATTACCGTAGGTGGCATGGTAAGACATAAGCCCGGGAGCGATTTACTTTTTCATTTTGATGTCCCCAGATGCCAAAAACACCATTCGTTCAAATTTTTATATATGTATATATATATATATATGTGTGTGTGTCCGTGAACGCGATAACTTGAGTAATTTTTGTCCGATTTTGATGAAATTTGGTTTAAAGGTGTAAAGCGGGATAAACTTGAATGAGTTCGCGAACCAGCATGATCGGACCATGGGAAAAGGGCTTTACAGGGGGTTTTATGGGGTAAAAATTGGTTTTTCTCACTTTTGACCCTCAAAACACAACGTTTCCCAATTTCTCTTTATACCTTTTTAAAGAGCTTTAAAAAACAAATAATTTAGTATATAAAAGTATTTTTGTACGGTTATTGGTAACGGAGAAAATTTAAAAAATTGTAAATTTAAAATTCCCATGTTATTCTTATGGAGTAAAATGTTGTAGTTTGGTTGTTTATGGATATATTTTGATCAAACTTGGCAATCTTATTTATTTTGTATTAAGCTATTAATATTTTACTAAAAAACACACTTTATTAGTTTCCTTGTAGTAGCAAACCTAGGTACTCGACCTATAATGTTATTTAAATATATTTAATTGAAAATCAATTCAGACAAATGGAAATTCGCTTAGTTGTCAGGTTTGCTGCGACGGGGTATTTTATTTTTAACTATCTCGTGCCGGCAAAACCCCATTATATTAGATCATTGTTGACCATAAATAATAGTTTGTCGCGGAATATTATTATAGTGATTCTGCAATTATGGAATCTAATTCTGTATGGTTAATCGGTCTATTAAAAAACTTTTTCAACCTGCATCTATAAATACAACTCGATTAACTGAAATGGGTATGTACTCTGACTAAAGCCACTTAGCCAAGTGAATATAGTGGTTTAAAAAGTCATTTTGGGGATTAACAAGAAACACTAAACTCCAGAGAGCGTTGAATTAATTTCGTTTGTCTCCCATCCTCTCGAAATTAGACCTCATTCGTCCTGAGGGAGTGGAGGCACAGATAATTAACTTTAAAATTAGTCGTACTTTACACGCTTCTCAGGGTTCACGTTTTACAATTAATAAATATATGTCATAAGCCAGACCCCTTTACTTCCTATGGTCAACTTGCTATTTAAAATGCCTAAGACTATTTGTGCGTAATGAACCACGAAATTCTAAGACTTCCTTTTTATTTCATTACAAACACGTCTCTTTAAATGTATTTATAATAATTAATACTAGAAATCTTCCGGTGGTAGAAAACTCGACCAAAAAAATGTGATGTACAGACATCTCTATTTTCATCCCGCGCTGTAAATAAAACATGTGATTGGAATTTCTTCCATTTGTTTAGATTTTCTGTTTATGTTTCGTTGTTATTACGTCACCAGAGCATGGCAACTCATAAGGCTGCTTTTAAATTCACTTTTGTGCCTATTTTAATATATAAGTTAAAGTTATTCTGCACATCTATTAGAAAATATCTTTACCTACGACCGTTTTTTTAAAGTAGCCATTTCAGTCCAGTTCTTAGAATTGAAAAGTTTCACTTTACAGCTGTTTACTTTCATATCCGCATAGTTTCATTTCATATCCGCATAGTTTTCTCATATCCACACAGGTAACGGACCAATGAGGTTTAAGTATTAAGAGAAAAGAATTAAAATTGTAATGCTTCGAACGTCAACTAATCAGCTGATCAGCTGATCAGTTGACCAATTTAATTGTTGATCCGACTTGTTCATGTTGATACTCGCGTATTCTTAATTAAGTTGGTGGAAGTCCAAAAATAAATGAAATATTTGCCGAATTGCACCTGATACAATATTATTTATGGTAAGAATGCTGCTAGCAATGTAATATTTAACGAAGTTTAACAAACACGTAATTACAGGAAATCAGCTGATTATACAACAAGTCGTTGCATCACTTTCAGTGGCAATGACAATACACGAAAACATAACCTCTCTAAAAGGTTATCATTAGTGATTGTTAGTAATTAAATCCAGATTGATAGTAATTAAAAAACGGTCGTAGGTAAAGTAGTGTACGCAACTCGCGTTAATAGTCTTTACGACACTCGTAGAAGTTTTTAAGGCACTCGCCAAGGCTCGTGCCTTAAATTTTCTACTCGTGTCGTAAAGACTCACTTAACGCAATCGTTGCGTAAACTACTATTCTGTATGCGTAGATTTTCCCTGTGATGCACACGAGCTGGGAAAAAATTTTTTCAAGAAACATACTTGTCTATATATTATATGGGATCCTTCCTCATGCTTCTGTTTAGTTTGTTTACCAATTTTAGTGAGATTTTACATAATTAAAGAGGAAAGTGACACTAAATACACGTTTTTCGTAGAGTACAAAAATTTGTAAATTTGTCATGCAACGCCTTAGTTTATTTTTATACATGCAATTAACCTATAGTAATTAAACAGGTCTGATGAATGCCACACAATTATTTGAATGCTATGAAGATTTTATATTAGACCAAGATGTATGTGTGCGGGTTCGTCGTAAACAGTTTGAAAATATTTAAAATATGTATTAAAATAAACAAAATTAGCCATAGATCTAGAAACAACACGTTCGATTTAATTGATAAACTTTCTAACAAAAACCCTCATAAAATTGACAAATATGAAAAATCTGGAATTTACTAAATACAATTTAGACATTGTCCCAAATTCTCACTCAACATTGGTCAGACTGGAAGAGCATATTTGTGCAGATTTAAAGAACATGTCCAAGCCATATAATGAAGCCATATTGAACAATCAAACATCCCAACGTTCAATGTACGAAGAACATATATTAGACAACAATCATTTCTGTGCAAAATTAGAAGAATGAATCGAAATTCTAAATGTTGAGAAAAGGGGTGAAACAATGGATATGAAAAATAATTTCAAATCTTCCTACATTCAAAAAAACACGGCAAAATAACTCTCAAATGTAATGTAAAAGCATAAACAAAATCCAATAACCTAGGCCTTCTTCATTACTTAAATATTGCATATTTATTATTAAAGATTTTATAGTAATATTTAGGTTAAATAATTTCCAGTATGGACCTACATAATGAATATCTATACATAACGATAAGCTGTAATGAATAAAAACCCACGATCAAGATAGTGTCCTCTAAGCATATTCATATTTTTAGAAATATTTCCAAGATTCAGAGAAACGCAGGTTCGCCTTGTTTTACCGATACGCAATAAACCTGTTGTAATCTCGTTACAGCAAAGACCGGGTTCTCTCTTCTCTTTCATTTCAAATCAAACTCATTCTCGGAAATAAAGTAGCCAAACGCTAAAAGCTATTGTTTCTTACACAAATGTACCTTGCCTAACCTTTTGTCTGTTTAGAAATGCAATAATATTTGAACACTTTCATTTCACTTTTTCATTAAAGAGTTTTTTCCCTAGTGAAATACTTTAGTCAAACTCGATTTTTCCTTCGCCATTGTTCATTTTCTCTTTTGATTAAGGTTTTTATTGTCTTCTGTTCTCCTTCAGAAAAGATATTATTCAATAGAAGAAAATAGTAATGAAAAATGTAAACTTTTTGTGTAAAACTAAGATATTGCCCAAAAGGTTAAAGAAAAATCTAAGCTCTGTGTTAAAGTATTAACTTTGTACGATTAATTGCCAAAACATAGTGATTAACTATGTGGCGTAAAGGTTTCTTTTAATAAAATTAGCAGTATTGAAATAAGTGCTGGAAACCAAAATGTATAACAATTTATTGTTTGGTACAGCAATTTCATCCTCTGTAGGTAATTTTAAATCATCCACATTTTATCAGACAATCGTCTAATCCCAATGTTCCGAAGGTTTATTAAATAAATTCCCACTACTTGAGAAGTTCGCCATTTTTCCCAGGGATATTATTAAAACAGTCTTTATTTGTACCTAATTGGATGCCTCGTAAGTTTATAACAGACTTTCTCGATATGGCTATTTTTAAATTAAATTTTACTATAATATTTTATGAATATCAACTCACCAATCCACTTTGCCCTTTATTTTTCCACCTAATAACCGTATTGTAAAAGAAGAGAACACCATTTCAGGCTGAGAGAAGTATGATTAAAAATATACCCATGGACATATCAAAATAAATTAAATTAAACTAATTTAATTGAAGATTATTTATATCTTCTTTATGGCTTCAAATTATTGTCAGATAACATAAATTACCTGTGAACTTAAGCTATTTTAACTTCAGGTATTAATTCCAAGACGTAGTACATATCTGTGGTGCAGGCGACTTTAGGTCCATGTTTAGGCTTCTGGTTTCCCTTACTTAATTAGAATTAATATCTTGAGTCGTCTCTCCGGTTCCCAGAGATCCTTGGTACTGTATTACACTAGTCGAGAGACGATATAATATTTTACAAGTCTTGTCTATGTTTTACCTATTGTTTATCTTCAAATTTATTTATTATTGTTCATAGTTTAAATATTGTTATTTTCTTTTATTTGCTTACATCTTTAACATTATGTAGATATATAAAATATTCTAAACATGACATGAACATTCATCTAATTTTTATTTGATTTAAATAAGGGTTTTGACGAATAATTATTGTACATGTTATTGGGACGTAATGGATACATAAAGTAGGCTTGCGGAACATGTAATATGTTTCAGTGTATGAACGATTAAATCATCAAATATAGATTATTCAATTTTATTTTCGCTGTTAAACATAACTAAACAACCTTAAATTTATTCTTAAACATAATCAGGAATAGTTTTAACAAATAGAGAAAGGAATGGCGAAAATATACAAATAAACATGTTTTAATCAAAAAGTTTTTAATAACATAAAAATATAATTTAAAGCTCTTTTAGAGAAAATTTAAAGCATTTTAAAAACAAAATCACAAGGGTACAAAAAGGTTTAGTTACATTATAGTATTGCATATTTTGTGCCATGAAGCAAAGTTTGGCCGTGTTAAATTTAACATTTTACCCTATCTCAGTACTATAATATTTCTACTATTTTCTATTTCTATTTTCTTATTATAATATTTCTCTAATCACTGGGTTTGATCCAGAGACCTGACTGGAGCGAGCATATGTCCGACTGTCCCCTCGTTGGGTGCGAGCTTCACTTCGGCAACCTTAAAAAAAAAACAATATTACTGATTTTAGCTGTGTAGTTTCATAAAAATAACGTGTAGGTTGTTTTGGAGGGATTGAGTTCTATAACAAATAAATTAAACTTTGTGCACATTGTTTCTGTTTGTTGAAATTTGAAATGCAAATTCAAAATCGTATGCGTGGATGTGATTATTTACTCTGTCATAAAATCCTAGGTTATTTCCTCTGTAGTATCATGATAATAAACTATAATTACCTATTGTTGAAATTTTTTCAAGGTTTTGTATTATACTGAATTTTGCAATATGGTTTGAAAGTGAAAATATTGGGCTGAAAATAGTGGTTATGGTAGATTAGGCATCGATGTGAGAATACAACTATGGAAGTCGTAAAAAGGACTTACAAAATATATTACTTATTAGCCAACCTTTTTCCAATAATATGATTTACTTTATCTTCATTTATTTTATTGTTTGAGCTATCTTAAAAAAAGTAAATTAAAACACACCCTTCCTTAAATTTACGATTCTAAGCGGTTCAATTTAGAAAAAGCTTTGTTAGTCAGTGACCCGAGATTCGCTTCATTTGCATGGCTCTGAGGGCTGAGTGAGGGGTTGTAAAAACACAGTTTACTCCCTTGTGTTCCTGGACTAAATAAGGGTTTGGTCCGTTGTGATTTCAAACAATGGACCGTCAACGCACGATTAAACTAACTGCTATTCCCTACTGTACATTTAAATTTATTTTGTCCCAATACGGTTATTTCAATGAATTAAAGTTGCATAGGTGACAGATTTTTTTTATTGACACTATTTACAAAAGACAATCCGTTTTACGAAAGTTTTCTTGGACATTCTTGGAAGCAAAGAGCAACGGCTGGTCTATAAGGCCTTGATTTTCAACAGAAGATTTATCCCGTGATTATTATATTTGAGTGCTAGGTCTTTCGATAAAAAATTCTCAGCAATGAGCATTTATGAGTTTTACTAAATGATTTAACTAACAATATATACTCATAGTATATTTTCTCTAACCATTTCTCCTTACCTGAATTGCCTACTAAAAGCTTATAAATCTGATTGTGAAGCAACGGTATATATTATTGTAGTATCAAGTAGACGGAATATACAAAGAATTCTCCACGATAAAGCGAAACCGTAAGGATATAGAAGCTAAATGAGCCAAAGTCCGTAACATTCAGAAACAGACAAATAGACCAAGGGAAACATTCAAATGTCCAATAGAGACATTAAAGAACTGATGAGTAAGTGTACGAGTCCGTTGTTTAAGAATGAAAAACGATTATTAATTAGTTAAATGTAAACTGTTAATGGCAACTTATTTGCTTTCCCAATCCAGTAAGCTTTTTTTGCAATATTTCTTTCGCTAGTATCATACTCACTATGACAGACGATGGTGCAGCTAGCGTGTACTCGACGGCGTCAGCAATGTCACTCGGGTCAAGTGCTGCAGCCATCTTCCCTTCTTCAAAGTTTGGTAACAGACCCGTCCTCGTCAGCCCCGGGCAAATACTCTACAAAAAACGAGAAAATTCTACAACTATTACTTCCAACATTGAGGCATCAGGATCAGGATGTATTATGTCACTAAAAAAATAATATACATTAACTGAATTGTTGGTGAGTTGGTGAGTCGATAGCGCCAACTTCTTCGAGCCCATGGTAGAGAAACCGTGGGTTTGGATCCTGGTACCTATTACTACATTTTGTCAGTACACTTCACCCTAGAACTGTACCAGATCACCCTTTGCTTTGTCGGATATGTTCCTCGCACAGATTCGTAGTCTTTAATGGGAAAATGCAAGGTAAAGAGGCCTCCAACCTTTTTAGAAAAATCTACTCACGTGGCAACATAATCTTTTTTTACTACTTGAGTTCAAAGGTAGGCTGTAGTCTGTGGCTGTATGTTTGTTGAAAATGATTTGAAAATCGTATTATAAATCAAACTGTATGCCACCACATTTGTCAATGCAAATCAATAAACTTCTGATATGAAATTAAACAAAACCAAACTAAAATTATGAATGATAACAAATGCGTTGGTTTAAAATCAAGTAAATTGTTCCAAGTCATGTTATATGATGCATTTATGTGAAGTATGCTTTTCCTATCGAGTTATTAAAAATATGACCCCTCATAACATAGCCAACAAAATATAACTATTAGGATGACAATGTTTTTGGCCATCAAGCATAATGTTTCATACGAAGCAATAAAATAACATTTTCCCATCCATTTGTAAACAACCAATATGAGTTTTTCATCACTTTGAATCTGAGTCACATTTTAGGTCTATGATTACAAATTGGCAACCTTGAAGACTACGCACCGACACTCTGATGTGCGACTGACGGACGCACAACTCGTTCTGAAAGGACTGACACAGCGCGGTGACCGCCCACTTGGTAGCTGTGTAGAAAGGTAACAGGTTGCCTATGACCTTGTGCCCGAGTAAACTGAAACAGTACAAAAATAAGTTTACACATAAAAGTCACATTGAAGACCATTTTATGTATCTGTATTCAAGACATTAAACTGTTAGTCTATTGTACTAGTGTACCTGTTGCTCGAATTTGAGGAATTGCGAACTATTACAGGTATTATTTTAAAACGGATAACAAGTCATAATTTCGTATCAGCAATCTGACACAAAATATCTCTGATTAGCTTGTCAACGCCCCTTATCATGCTAAGCGGTGGGAGTAGCCAAGTAGACGATATTTTATGGGGCAAATCACAAAATAAGCAATAATAAAACACAGAATTTTAATCAAAAACAGTCCAGCCACTTGATTGTAACATACCGTACTACTTTTCAATCAAAATCGTTCAAGCAGCTTTTTATAAAAATGTTTCATTATTTTATGGTTTTTTACAATACAAATTTAAAATTTTACAATATATGACAATTATTTTTATAACTGTTTTTTATGTCTTATCTAATCGAATCTCCAAACAACACAAGGACTTGTGCAACAGTATAACTAATTGACTTTAATAGTAAAAACACTTACAAAATAATACTTCAATAGGGTTGTGCGTCTAAGATTTTATTATTGATAGACTTCAGTATCCAAAGGTCAATGGTATAAGTAACCTATAACTGCATTGGTTCTCACCTGTTGATATTCACCACATGGCCATCGTCCACTCCACGAGCCATCATGGAGGTGAGAGCCAGTTTGGTGGACACTGCCAAGGACAGGACATTAACGTCCAACATCATCCGCCAAACATCTGTGGAGGCCTCTGTGAGAAAACAGTAACGTTACAGATGTTTATTGGTAATCAAACTCTACCTTGGTGCTATTACAGTTCATCAGCGCCAGCACACGTACAGATTCGCCAATGGTTTTAAAATATATAAATTCACCAATCCTCCCAACAATTCGGGTCAGGCGGAAAAATGGTCCACCCCATGGGAAGTTTGCGAATCTTCCCAACAATCCGGGTCAGACAGAAAAAAATGAGTCCACCGAATATTCAAATTCACCAATGTTCCCAACAATCCGGGTCAGGCAGGAAAAATGAGTCCACCGAAAATTCAAATTCACTAATCCTCCTAACAATTCGGGTCAGACAGAAAAAAATGGTCCACCGAATATTCAAATTCACCAATGTTCCCAACAATCCGGGTCAGGCAGGAAAAATGAGTCCACCGAAAATTCAAATTCACTAATCTTCCTAACAATTCGGGTCAGACAGAAAAAATGGTCCACCAAATGTTCAAATTCACCAATCTTCCCAACAATTCAGGTCAGGCAGAAAAAAATGGGTCCACCGAATATTGAAATTCACTAACTTTTCCTGTCCCGATGAGGGGTAGCTGCGCTAGTCTTTGCCATAGGTACATGTGTCACATTTCTTAACAACAAATAGTAAGAATAACATACTCATATGAAATTATTCGTGATTTAAAGGTGCATTTTGATTAACTTGTTTTGAGACTTTGTGATATATTAAACTCAAACAATTTACTTCCAACAATGTTATTTCGCTTTATGTAAGCTTACTATTGTAAAATCACTACCAGCATAGTGAATGGATGGACTGTGAACGTATTCGAATTGTATCTGTCATAGGCCAGCTTGTGTGCGAAACACTAAGACTAAAGGTAATTGACAAAGATTAACCTATACATGAAACAAGAATCCATTTGAACTGCAAGCGTTGGAAGAACAATGTTGGACTACAAAAATAGTAATATTTTCCCATTCATTCTCTTAACTAGTTGAAACTAAGCTTAAAGTCCCAAAAGGTGAATTTTGTGATGAATTATTATTTGGTTTATCCACAACTTATTACTTTATATTTGCCACCGACAAATATATTTATGCGAGCTACACTTAGGTGTGTACCAGCCTTCGTTGACTTAAAAGCTCTCATACAACTTGGTGTTATGAAATTACATGTCTCTCTTGACATCGACGCCCTGTCCCTGACTGGGATTAGTAAGCTACCCCTTCTTGGACAAAGACTAGAAATAGTTGGTGAATTTGATTATTTTTGGGACCTATTTTATGTTCCCCGGGTCGTTACGCGGGTTGCTGACTGTATGTTTGGATGGTACCTTCCAACCATTGTTGAATCTGTATGTGTCCGTTCATCATACCATAGACAAATAGAATTAAATATAGACCGACATCAGGGCTGCGGTTAGCATAAGTTCTGTCGTCCACCGCTAGGAGTGTCATATAGTTACGTATTGCGTGCGCCTTGACTACACGGCACTCCTAGCGGTGGACGCCACAACTTCCACGCAGCAATGCTGTCGGTCTATATTTAATTATTTTTGTCTATGATCATACCCAGTAGTGGACTGTTATCGGCCAGGCCAGCATTGTTGACGATGACGTCAGCGCCTCCCAGAGTGCTGTCCACCCAGGCGTAGGCTGCCACGAGTTCTGACTCCAGGGCCAAGTCGCACTTGCGAGGAATAAACTTGCCTACTGCTCCTGCGTCGACCAGCGAGTCTGCCATCTCCTATGGATCGATACATCGTGTCAGACTCTGAAGTCATTTGATTGTATTGGTGATTCATAAATTATCCCAAAATTCAGCCATTCATAAAGTCATCAATTCATAAATTTGCCCTAAACTGTGTCAGGTGCCAAAAACTCTATCGACCCAATATAGATTTACTCAGTGACCTTGACTCATATCAAGGACAGGAAGGAGTCACACGTGACTAGCCATTGTCCTGTGGAAGGTTGCATGTTGGACGAGGTCGTGGTCAGAACGAATTTTTAACCCGTAGACCCGTTCTCTTATGTACTTGAATAGACCGGATCAACCTCTACAGCTTAATAGTTACGGGTGTTCTTCCTCAATTCAGAGCTTTAATGTAAACAAAATTAGTGATATAATCGATTGGAATAAATTATGTAAATAACAATGTTTTGTGTACGTACAAGGTATTTACGATTTTATACAGAAAGCTTTCCGTGTTGCTGGTAACTTCAATTTTGTATCTAAACGTGAATCACTCGAAGTTTAAATATACCAATTAAATATTAATGATAGCTTAACTCTTGCATTAACTCTTTCATCTGGTTAAATACTAACTCTAGAGTCTCAAATTTTCGTTTAATATAACCTCATTCCATCGCCATGTTAAAATTGTCACCTGGTTTTTATCAAAATCGTCGTAGTTGATGAATCAGAAATCTAAATTATTGATTTCTGTCAAACTAATCAAATGACTTATTGTGAGCTATAGTAGGCTAACTGTTATGACCCATCAAATTGGCCAGCAACAAAAAAATGCAATGATTCTGGGATGTCTACTTCTGTATCCAACAGTCTATCAAAAACACAGTTTCGGTTTTTTTTGTTTTTTTTTACAAACTATATAGGATCAATGCAATTTAATCTTATAAACATTGTTTACTTCACAATATATCTTTATGTAGTTCAAATATTCGTGAGGCAGCTTTGATAGTTAGCTTACGCCATTGACTATAGAAGCCTACGTTAAAAATCCTTAACAATTTAAAAGAATCTTTAACTCAAAAACGCATTCCTGAATATTAATTCAGTTAATTTGTGTTTTTACCAGGAAAGTTTTGGGGTAGTTTTGATTTTTTCATTTCTTATGTATTTTGGGGTGCTGAATCCGAATCTGAGGTTTGCCAACAAAAATTCTTGACGCAACATTGACAAAAATGAGAAAAATATGGAAAAATTGATACTTTTTGTAATATTTAGCTTATAACTCACAAACTATCAACTTTTTGTCATTAATCTATATTATAAAAATTAAAGTACACAAAATTTGCTACAAAATGTACCCCTAATGTGGTAATCTCCGATGAACTGTTTAGGCTCCAGAGCTATTTGAAAATTGGAACATTTTGTGTTAGTTTTTAAATTTCTCCAATTACTCTGTCAACGACACATATTCATTGTATATGCCCAGGCAAAGGTCTTATATAAATCCAAAGTGTTAAAATTGATTAATTTTGTGTTACTGAACCGTTGAATTTTTATTTAGTGTACAGAAAAGATACACGAACTGTTGCCGTTTAAATTATCCTCGCTCAGAGGGTTGTAATGAGGCAGATTCTGGCAAACGTTTCGATGCATTATTTGTGAGCATTCTAGCTTGTTCATCTGGACAATTTAAAAAAGGTTAAAAGTATAAAAAATTACACATATAATAATAAGTGATGCCAAAATCAAAACTATCAAAATTAAAATAACACCAATCAATTAATCATGTAATATCTTGTGCACCTGATGACGTGATATTAAGATATACGTAAATAATCAAATGTTATGTAGGCATATACTGTTTCCAAGCATTTACATTGTGTGTAGATTAAATAGATTGTAGGTCTTAGGGCGTAGGGCATAGGCCTACATGAGAGTGGTAAGGGTTAATTGACTTAAGATAGTCAATACAAATTTTGGCTAGAAAACTAAAACCAACGTTGCCTCACTGCCCCCAACTCAAGCAGCTGTGTGGACATAACTCGCTTAGAGTTTACATTTACATTCGAGTGAAAAAAAAAATTAGTATTGGCCTATGGTAACAGTGCCAATCACTCTAAGCCATGCATTGGTCTTAAAATTTTACACAGAAAATTTTATAATGGGTGCCAATACGATTGAGGACGTACAATGGGCTGTGATGCTAGAGTCTAAGTAAGTAAGAAAGTAAGTATAGTACCAAACGTACATCTCTTTATTTATTAACTTGTTAAATCTATACACAATGTAAATGCTTGGCAACAGTATATGCATACATAACATTTTATTATTTACGTATATCTAAATATCACGTCATCAGGTGCATACGATATTGCATGATTAACAGATTGCTGTTATTTTAATTTTGATAGTTATGATTTTGGTATCACTTATTATTATGTGTATTTTTTTTTTTTTTACTTTTAACATTTTATGTCCAGATGAACAAGCTAGAATACTCACAAATAATGCATCGAAACGTTTGCCAGAACCTGCCTCATTACAACCCTCTGAGCGAGGATAATTTAAACGGCAACAGTTCGTGTAACTTTTCTGTACACTAAATAAAAAGTCAACGGTTCAGTAACACAAAATTAATCAATTTTAACACTTTGGATTTATATAAGACCTTTGCCTGGGCATATACAATGAATATGTGTGATTGACAGAATAATTGGAGAAATTTAAAAACTAACACAAAATGTTCCAATTTTCAAAAAGCTCTGGAGCCTAAACGGTTCATCGGAGATTACCACATTAGGGGTACATTTTGTAGCAAATTTTGTGTACTTTAATTTTTATAATATAGACTAATTACAAAAAGTTGATAGTTTCTGAGTTATAAGCTAAATATTACAAAAAATATCATTTTTTCCATATTTTTCTCATTTTTGTCAATGTTGCGTCAAGAATTTTTGTTGGCAAACCTCAGATTCGGATTCAGCACCCCAAAATACATAAGAAATGGAAAAAATCAAAACTACCCCAAAACTTTCTCGCTATGAGTGAATTTAAATACAAATTTACTGGATTATATTTGTTGTCACAACAAAAAGGGGGTTTTTTAAATGCATGGTATCTTGTTTGTCCACAGTTTTATCCACATAACGATTGCACTGAAAGGTCGTCCAATCAGGGACCGCCCTGCGCTAGGCGTCTCCAACATGTTTGATAACAGCCCTGATATGGCCAACTGTCATTATTGGTGGCCTCGGGCTCAGGAAATGACGGCTTTGCTGAAACCTCTGTTTCTGATTGATCGATTTCATGATCGTACAAACATGTCTGCAACACACATCTCGTATGATAGCTTGCGTTGTAACTTGGAAAGTATATTCGTATGAAGGAACATTAATGTGACATTTTAACTAACAAATAAATCTGAATACAGTACAGAACACTGTACTAGTTGGTTATGTTATTTGAAATTGCATTAAATTTTTGTATCATCGAGTCCTCGTCTATGTCGATGCAAATGGTCTTATAACTATAACGCATTATCAATTCATACAGTGGTGCAGTATGTATATGCAATCTGGATGTCTATGAATTGTTATATGAAATGTGTATTTCTAGCCACTATTTTGAGACAACAGAGCTATAAAAAATCGTTTGAATTTCGACTTGAATTAATCCTTTTTGTGTTGCTTGTTTTGATCTTTGATTTATTTTGCATTATAAGTCATATGATTTTTTTACTAGGCCTAATTTTGAAAGGAAAAGAGTTCAGACTATGGACTTGTTTACTGGCAAATATTGATCTTTTAACCGAAAGTCAAATGACGAATGGCAACACCATCCATAATCTATTATTCTCTGTAATGACTCGTAGGCCTATATGTACTATGTAGTCAGTGTAGTGAAAATACCACGTTTGAGATACAATGAAATTCTTGCTGAGAACCTTACCGGTTATTAGAATTAGCGCGACTAATCATTATGTTAATGCCATTTCATTCTGTCGAACACTTCCGATATTTTAATGCAGAAACAATAACTTAAAGTGTTAAAATAACGTCATTCTTACTTTTTAGCCATTTCAACTACGGCCGTTTTTAAATTATTAGTTCAGTTCTTAGAATTGAAAGGATTCACTTCACAGCATTGTTGTTTTACTTAACTACACGAGTAACCGACCAATGAGGTTCAATGATTGAGTGAAAATAAGTAAAATCGTACTACTTTGAACGTCAAGTTATCAGCTGTTTAGACCAATTTATCAATTATCAATCATTATCAATTATCAATCATTAAGATGGGGACGCCACTTAGGTGCGTATTTTAACCCAAATATGAGTGAAGGATGAGTGTAGAATGGTGTGAGATGATCTGTGTAGCTTTGTTACTGACTAAGATCAGCTGTTTCATTAGCCAGGATCATTTATTTAAAGCCCAATGATCAGGAACAGCTGGGTCCAGTTTCGAACCATCAAAAAGCTACTGACTTTTCTCAGGATCGAACCGGCGACCTTTTTGATTAGTAGGCGAGCACTATAACCACTCAGCTACCCAGCCAGTCGTTCCATCCCTATACGTACTTTAATTTAATTTAATGTAATTTAATTGATTAAACAATGAGTGAGTGGTTGAAGTTGTTGCATCAGTGGATATGAATGGTTATAAACGAAAAGTTAACCTCTCTTGTAAGTTAAGAATAGTGATTTTTAGTAATTAAGAAATGGTCGAAGGTAAAATAGTGTACACTACTGTTTATCTATTTATTGGTGGCAACAGCAAAATCACGTTACATAAACGTAATCTTAGATTCAACTCTACCTTACGTTAACCTTAGTTACGTGACTAACTGTGAGTCACGTTAGAGAGTTATGTGAGTCATTTCACGTAACATTTAGTGTTGAAGTTGACTTATATGCTTGTATTGTAAGTTTATCATTTTTTGGTGATTTGAAATTGATGAACATAGGCAATATGTTCAATTCTCATCACGTACTATTCTGGGTTGCTAAGGGGTTATGCTGCCCTTATAACTTGAAGCTTACTGGTTCAACCCTAAGTGGGGTCGATAATAGAACTAGAACGAAAGGCCTGCGTTACAGAGTAACAAGGACAGGCTTCGGACCGTACCCTTACAATAAACGTAAACTTCCCAGTGGCGTAAACACACACAAAAATATGGTTTAGAACAGTTCAAAAATTGTACTTCCTTACCTGCATTGCAGTTTCCCTCCTTGCCAGCCCCACCACAGTCATCCCTTTTTCTACAAGTCGCCTAGCAACTGCAGCCCCGATACCCCCACTGGCTCCAGTGACCACGGCTACCCGACCCTTCCAACGATCCATGGTGTACTGTGGAACTATCCGCACTACCAGAACTAATAGAACTATAACTATAGCACTGTATACTGCCGACAACACTGTATCAGTGAAAACAAGGATATGAGACCTGCTGGGTATTTACCAGTAATTGCATGACATTCTCCAACCAAGGCCTTCAGTTACGTAAGTTTTGCCTTGATTACACTCTTGATCACCGCTTGGATCGTTATACAATGAAGCTGAACCAGAGAGTACAGAATAGAAACAGTGTATCCTTGAGGGCTTGGTTACTTATACCTTATACACTGGTCAGAATGTGTGCGTCTGTTTTTGATACATTTATTTATTTACGGCAAAATTGCCATACAATAAATTACATGCATAACAGTTTGTGGATTATTAATACTATACAGGGTCTTTCGAAACTCCGTGGTCATGTTCCTTAGGTCAAAACAAACAAAAAATATCATATAAACATATGCCCTATCTCGCTTTGTTTTCCATCTGCCGGTGTGTATGTATTTTTTTATATAACTTCCCATAACTTTAAAACCTCTTGAGGTACCAACTTCAAACTCAGTACGTGTATGATGACTAATGTAACTATTCTTTTACAAAGCATCAAGTTTCAACTTTGTATAATTTCAAAATTGCGGTCATTTTAACTTTTCAAAGCTTAATAACTAAAAAATGATAGGATTTATAAAAAAAAAGTTACAAATGAAAAAAAAAATTATGGAAAGTTAATTCACTGTACATTAATGAGCAATTTATATATGGTCATAACAGAAATAACGGAGAAAATTCATTTTTATAAGGTAGTACATCCAAATTTATTGAATTTTCCCAAATGTTTTGATTTAACTTCAGATAATTTTATTTTTCTCCGTTATTTGTCTTATGACCCTATAAAAACTGTGCATTTCTGTAAAGTGAATTAAATTTCCATCCATTTTGTTATTTGTAACCTTCTTATAAGTCCTATGGCTTTTGAGTTATTGAGCTTTGAAACATTATAACGGCCGCTTTATGGTTAAGGCTATGTTTTGACCTAAGGAACATCCTCACGGAGTTTCGGGAGAGAGGTTCGTAACACCCTGTATACATGCAATAATTTTAACACAGTGCAAAATCCCTTTATGAATACAAAAAAAATGCTTTATGAATACATGCTAACACTAACGATATACAACTAAAAAATAACAAATTTAGTCTGGACATTGCGAAGCTACAATGGTCTGTATCCTTAAGGTTAAAAAATGCTGCAGTCAAAGGCATTTTCCCATTGAAAATTTATTTGTATTTATTATCGAGTTATGGTGTACAATACACCTAAAATCAATAGTGTAGTTTAAATTTTAAAATAGTTCATTACCTTAAACTCGAATATTCTGTACATTTAACTTTCTATAAACGACCAAAACTGGACAAATTGGTTAAACGTCGATATCAGCTGTTTTTTTTTTTAATACATAAAAACAAAATTCAAACAATTTCGGGCGTTAATTACTAAGATAACCTATAAATATTCTTGTTTTTCGGATCAGTTTGCTTGGATATTATTAGTAAAGATTCGGTATGACGAACAATAAACAGAGTGAACAACTTAACTGTGCCACCATTAGTATTTCAGAAACTATTATATTTAGAGAAGATGTTTTAGGGAAATTCTCCTAACAAAAGTGGATATCACCGTATCTGGAGGAAATAAACAAGTTTTAAACGTAGTTAATTAATCTCTAGAGTTTTATTGAGTACAAACTTGCGTTATAAGAAACTTTGTTCTCGAGGAAATATTTAAATGCGGTAAATTGTCTCCTGCCGTGGTTTACTATCATCAGTCAGTACATTCCGTATGGATTCTGGATCGGTGTCAGGACCACTTCACATATCTGTAATCAAGATGCAGCGTGTAAATTGAAGGTACTTAACTTAGCTTAAGGTAAGCGTTAGTTCTATGAAAAAAATGATAATTTTTTCACTTCACATCCAAGGTCCGCAACCCTGAACATTACTTCAGGCTAGACCTTGAATGTCGCGTCATTATCATAGCTTAAAAAACTATTAGTAATTTGCGTGATTTGATCCCAGGAACTCGAGTACCGAAGTCCTGTCACTAGTTCATCTCACCCCCAATCGTAAATATCCTGAATAGTGTACTGTTTTACAAGAAAAAATACTACGAAGTCTTAAAATAAATAATTGTTATAAACTCAAAACTTAACCCCATAGAGCTCAAACACACCAGATAATAAATTATTGGCAATAGTTGTCAATCCATAATCCGACCGGAGTTAAATGTAGGACTCTGATTTATAGTTTGAAGCCAAAGCCAAAACATTGCTCGTACTAATTTATGCAGCAATTAACATGTCCATTTTGTTCAATTATTTGTTGTATTTCAACAGTTAAGAGGACCAGTTTGGAATTATTATTGATAGGCCTTGATGAAAAGGAAGTCATATAATTTTTACATTAACATTATTATTAAAATTACTATTAACATGTATTGTATATTATTATTATTAATTTTTAAGTATTTAACTTAATTGTGTATCCAAAATTGTGTTCCTTTTGGAAATAATGTTCTTAATTCGAAATCTAGGAATGAAACAGTCTTCTTTCAAATGACTCAGTCCCAATAGAGTATGGCATACACAAATTGAACCTCCATAATGAAATGAATAATTTAAGTAAGGAAACCAGAAACTTGAAATCCCCAGTTCACCTTAATAACTATTTTCTTTTCATTATATTTTCATTCCATTTCATTAAAATTAAATTGTAAGAAAATACCTCTGTCACCGTGTCACCAATTTGTTGTAATTTTTTTTATTTTTCAATGACCTTGCATCTACAGTGTCACATGATTACGGGTCATCTGTTTTTATATAACTCAACGAGTAACGATGTAGTTGTGAAACATTAATAATCTTTTATAATTTGTATTTTCTAAGCTTATTTATTAGACGTTACCGCTTTGTGAAATGGACTCTTCGGTGTGTAACTGTAAAGTTAGTTTATTTCTCGCAACAAACACGTATTCATGGTTTTTTGTCCAAGGACGCTAGGTACGAGCCCGGGATTGTTTTTCAAATTACTTCAGGCTAGACCTAGGGGTTGCGGCATTATCTTGGAAATAATACATTGGTTATTTGGGAGGATTTGAACCCGGTGCCTCAGGGACCGAAGCTCCGTGCTCTAACCACTAGAGCAGCTCGCTCCCCATGTATGCATAGTAGAAAATACTCAATTTTACCCTTTATGATAAGTTTTAACACAAGATTAATTCAACTTGTAATCCTCGAATTTTCATAAAAGATGGAACACACGCTGTTGTGGGATTTTGGTTAAACATTCGGTTTGTCTCGATCGCCGATAATAATTTATTAATAGTGTGAAATATTCACATGAAATATTTATAGAAAATTAATGATTAGTACTTTGAAATATTGTCTATAGCTTAAGAGTTCTCTTAGATAAGCCAGTGGTACCTTTAATCTTACAACTTAACTTAATACAAGTTTTGGACAATATGTTTGATTTACGTATCGTAAATATTTGACTATGTAATTTGTTTGTCGTTTTTTGTATGATGTGATCTTTAAGTATCTGTAGTATCAATTAAAATTTGTAATTAATTTATTTACAGTAGTTAAAAATACCATTGACCACAGTCAGCTTTTTGACACTGTTTATGTACCTATGTAGAATTTCTCAAAAGGAAAAACATTCTAAATCACCTTTACACTTTCTTAATATTTTCTATAAAAACACCTGAGTGACGTCAGATGCTGATAGAACATTGACTACAGCCTCAGCCACGTCATCAGCAGCCAGGACGGGGCTGATCAAACATCAGCTCAGCAAACGTCCCTCTGACTATCTCTATCCTGGTCAACTCGGGGCTGATGCTCTGGAAACGTTTACCATTTTAGTTGGAATTGTTAACCAATAAACACTATTATTTCAATGATATTGTAGATAGGCTTATTTATTATTTCTAATTAGGCTTGTTAACTATTTGGCTCAGACTTTTACTTAATAATGTTTCGCAAAGAAAATTGAGAAATGGTGCTAGTTAAGTTGTTTAGAACAAATTGGCTTACATATTCGGTTGTCTGTTAGAAATAATGTCGAAAAAGTTCGAAGGTTTCAGCTGTTGAATGAATTAAGAGAGAATACCACACTACACTCGAAGTGAGAATATCATATTTCATTACTAGGACCGAAAGTGGCATTTTCCGGCGCGCGATCAAGTTTCATGTGTTCCTAGCCGAACGCAGGAAATTCTAATTTCACGTGCGAAGCAAAGCCGATCATGTGAGAACTATTTTCGGGTACGAGACGAAGCCGCCAAGTACGGTAATAATGGATCAAGAGCGGGAAAATAACTTCCATTTCGAGTTAAGAACGATACTTTTCATCACGACGGAAATGAAATATATACACAAATACTGAATATTAAAATCAGTAATATTAAAATAGTTTTATACCACTCTTTATCAGTAAACATCGACTTCATAACGTATATGACAATACATATACTTTTAGATAAATATCACGAATACTATTTTCTAGGATTCGTGATAAATATATATTAATAAATACTTCGTCACTTACTTTATTTGGTTTAACATTTTGTCAGTTGTATTAGTTCGTAAACCTTCTGTATTCCTCTTCATATCTTTCTCTTTATTTTCTCTGAAGCTTGTGTCATAGAATCATTAGAGATTTTAAACATACTCGTATTTTGAACAATTTCAAACACGCATTACGCTAACACACAGCAACACAAACTAATTCCTGTCTCTGCATACATCAGGATTGTGCAACAATGAAAACAGCTGATTTAAATAATTAAAATGAACCGTAAAAAAACACATTGAAATATTTATGAGAGCTTAACCTGTGAATTGCTCAGTTTTGCCAACTCCTGAATTGTTAACCAGGACGTCAGCGCCACCAAACTCTTTCTCTACAAATCTAAATAATTCTTTCATCTCATCTTCTTTTCTCAAATCTGTTTTCAGAGCTATGTTGTCAAAGCCTAAAAAAAGTTGAATATTTTAAACATGATATGTTTGAGAATAGCATTATGTTTGTCTATTTATGTTAAAT